TTGAGAAGTATTGTTTACAGGAAGGTTTTCAAAGCAGTGGATGAGATTGGGATGGGGTGGGCCATAACAAAGGAGTTCTGGATGAGGTTTTACTAAATGCTGATTGTGTCTATTGAAGAGTTCATAGGCCTTTCACAAAGTGTCTGTAAGTGAATCAAGTGCCAATGAAGCCAGGAGACTAGTAAAGCTACCTTATGGGTGGGTGTTTCAGGTCTGAGGGCCACACTGATTGTAGGGTAGATGGTTTGGGCTCTCACTTTGAAGACTAAACTTTCAGGAAAACAAAAAGGAGCAAGTTTATTTATTTATTGCTTGCCTTGGGAAATGCTTGCATAAGCTTTAGATTTGATGAAAACTAATTCATGTAATTCCTGGAAAGGCTTATGTCAATTTTATTCCTCAAGGATTAACAGGAAATCCATTTCTTTTAAGACAGGTGAAATTAAAAAATTCAGGAATCAACAACAGAAAAGCTTTTAAGAGGCCTCTGCAGATGTCCCTTCTGAGTGATTGACAGGGGTTCCAGCTGGCTTTGTTAATCCCCATTAACCAAAAACCTTGACTTGTGCTGTTGCCATATGCTAACCTGAAACCAACTGCGTCATAGCCTCATTTCACCATTGATCAAAAGTCTCCTTTTCTCCAAAGTCTCAAATGGAACTGGGGAAAAATATCTGAATTTTCAGTGCTGGCCTTAAAGCAGTAACACCTCAAAATGTGCCCTAGTTATATATTGAGTTTTAATTTAAGAAAAAAAAAAGATCTATTTTATTATTTTGTTTGATTGTTTATTTTTGTTTGTGAGGCAGGGTTTCTCTATGTAGCTTTGGAGACTGTGGTGGAACTCATGCTATAGACCAGACTGGCCTCAAACTCACAGAGATTCGCCTGCCTCTGACTCCCAAGTGCTGGGATTAAAGGCATGTGCCACTGCCTGAGCTGTCTTATTCTTATTTATGTGTGTGCTTGTGTCTTTGTGAGCTCGTGTCCTGTGTGTTGGTGTGTGTCTATGGAGGCCAGAAGAGGGTATTGTGTCCCCTGGAGCTGGGTTGACAGGTGGTTGTGAGTCACCAGACATGGGCTCTGGCAGCCATATTCTGGTCCCCTAAAAGAGTAGCTAGCACTCTTATCCACTGAGGCATACCTCCAGCCACTGAGTTTTAATATTTTTAAAAGATTATACTCAATGACTTCTCATAATCTTATTGTTTCTATGAAATAATGGAATCTCTGGGAATATAAGGAAATTTAGAAAGAAAAGGGGAGAGGCTGTGATGCAGGTCAGTGGCCTAGCATGCATGAACTTTGGGTTTGATCAGCACCAGGGTCATTCCTACAATCCCAGCAATCAGGAGGTAGGAGTAGGAGGATCAGAAACTCAAGGACGCCTTCTTATCTACAGAGAGTACCAGACTGGCTGAGACACAAGTTTAGGTCAGAGAACAACTCTGTGGATCTGACTTTCTCCTACCACCTCTGTGTGGCTTCTGGGGGAACAAATTCATAGTGCCAGGCTCACTTGGCAATATCCTTGACCTCCTTGAGCCATCTTACTAGCCAGATTATTGTTTCTTTTAAGAGCAAATGTGTAATGTCTTGTAAATGCTTGACTGTAGACAAGAGCTGTTTCCCTATTTTGGCAATCTCTTTACTCTCTGCCTGTTATATGTATCACATTCTCATATCTTATTTCCTTAATAATAAGCTTATTTTCTACCTTTGACCTTTATGTAGTGCTTTTCAGAACTAGGAGATTTGGGAACTCTTTTTAATGTTTTTATTATTGCTATTGTTATGTTTCACAAATGGGAGTAAACCATCTTCAGAGAATCAAAAGTCCTCATAAGACCTGAATTGTGAGCCCCCAAAGGAGACATAAATACAAGGCTAAGGAGCAATGCCCATTTCCACAGAGAATATGAAAAGATGTATGCAACTCACTCATAGGAGCAATTCATACCGTGTTACTCTCTTGGGGCAAAGAATAATTTTCCTGTGGTCTCCTAAAGTTTTCTCATAATGGACTGGCAAAAAACAAACAGGAAAAAGGCAAATATGTTTATTAATATGAAAAGGAAGAAATGAGAATCAGAGCACTGGAGAAACATCACAAGTATAGTTCCCCATCATCCCTGCATAATTCACAAAGGGGTAATTCATAATATCCCCACTGGGGAGTAAATATCTACTGGGGAGTAAACAACGGAGGACACAAGCATTTTTTGAGGGCCTCTGTAAAGAACAGGAGACTGACAGTTGTCTTTTATGTAGATATTCATCTAGCAAATACCTGTGTCAATTTTTGTCTGGGAGAGGTGTGACACCCAATCTGGATAGATCTCTCTTAAGCCAAAAGGAGGGTTATTGGACAAGAAACATTCTGTTTGCACCTGCCTTTATTTTTTTAACTAATTAGGTACAAAGCTGTAAATTTCTTTCATGAAAAGACAGCTTTACAAAGTCCCTATATTTGCAGAAGTCTACTGTCACCCTAAATAACCAACTCTAAAGGGGGCCAAAGAAACACACTTTGAAAGGAGTAGCTCAAGTCTCTTTCAGAATTAAAGAGGTACAGGTTTTTGGGGTTTTTTTTTAGAAGAAAATTCAAAATTCTATGGAGGTCTGAGTTGTGTGAATGGATGTGCTGAGGGTGGGAAGATGAGGGACTATATATTTAAGTAAAAAAAAAAAGGAATGGTTGATAGAAATAAGGCAGTAATAGATAGCATGCACTCTTACCACCCCACCCACCCACAAAATGTAAATGTGTGTGTTTGTGTGTGTGTGTGTGTGTGTGTGTGTGTGTGTGTGTGTGTATGTAAACAATCAGAGGCCCATGAGATGGCTTCAGCCAAATCTGAAAATCTGAGTTAATGCTCAGAACCCATGTTATGGAAGCAGAGGATGGATTTATGCAAGTCTTCCTCTGACCTCCACATGACAATACCTATATACATCCATACATGCACACACACAATGAGTTTTTTAAAAAGTAACCATTCATGCACACTCTTCTGGCTTAATTCTGAGTTTGTGACATGTATTTCATGAGGCTTTTCATTATAAACATGATTGTAGCACCCAGGTTGTATATATCCCTTAAATCTGGAAAAGAGATTTCTGTTGATTACCTCAATCAACCATCTCATGAACATTTACCAATAGTTATTAGATACTTGTTTTGCTTGGAATAAAATAAAGACATAAGAATTGGTGACATTAAACTTAACATAAAATATTGGTAACTGGTAAAATCAGCAAGGAATGAGAAATGAAAACTTCATCAATGAGAAAAAGCTCTCTATTTGAACTTGAAATAGGTAAAGAAGAGCTCACTGCATGGTAGTCTATTGTGGGATAACAAAGCTTAGGTTAAATGCAGGGTAAAGGCACCACTGACAAGATTCTTCCTTCAACCCAGCTTCTCCTAAAGACTCAACTAAGTCCCTTGTGATTCTTGGTGTACTTCCTAGTAAACTAGTACATTTTATTTCCTGGTAAAATCAAATTTTAATGAGAACCTGTTTATCCAGAACCCCAGTAGACCTTGATATCCACAGTTTCCATCTCCACTGCCTTACAGGTGTCTCATCAGCCCGACTATTTGCAACAGGAATCCCACCAGGGCTCATTGGCCATACTTACTTTTCCATGCTGCACTTAGTGATTCTCCAGTGATAGGACCCCCTCCCTTTTCCTTGGCTGTGCACACTGTATTCAGAATTGGACACATGTTAAACTAAAGCTTGTGTCTCCTTACTGCAGTCATTTTGAATTATGTCATGTTTTTACCGTGTTATCATTTTCCTCAGCATCTGCTCACAATGTATCAGAATTTTTTTCCTGTTTACCACTTTCTAATGACTCTTGTGCCATGGGAAGCCCTAACTAAGAGCTAGCTGTAATGTACAGACAAACAACAGTCCTCTTATGGTAAAGACTAAATGAGATATTGGGACCATACAGTGCAAGGCACAGAGTAGGTCCTCGGGAAAGAATTGTCTGGTTTTTTTTTTTTTTTTTTTTTTTTTTTTTTTTTTTTTTTTGTAGGAACTCTATTAAGTGGCCACATGAAGGTAAAAGTTGCAATCTAGTCATTGCTTCATGTCCTGGGTCTAAGAGTCATAATTCAATCTGTAAGCTATTGTTAATAAAAGTAGATTCCAAATTTAGCAAGCTGGGCCAACACAAGCAAGGGCTTCCAGTTACTTTCATGTACTTTCAGTGTGTGTGTGAGTGTGTGTGTATGTGTGTGTGTGTGTGTGTGTGTGTGTGTGTGTGTGTGTGTGTACAAAACAACTTCTTTAATTCTCATTAGATGAGCCTGAGGTCTTGTGCTCTTCCCATCCCAGTGGCTGTTTCTGAAGCACAGAAGCTGCTTGGTTGGAAACATTTTGTGTATTCTTTCATAGGTAATGCTGTGCTTTGTTGTGTTGCACTGGCCTTCTTAACTTGTGTGCCATGTAGCACAACTCATTTCTAAGCCACTCAGACAACAACAAGGAACCACAGGGCAAATAAGTTAAAGCATGTGACCTCCACCGCCAAATTGCCACTGCAAATTGGTTTGTATGTAATCTTTTCAAAGGTGCACATCTAAACATGCCCTCAGAGTCAAGCAAATAAATGCTACTGCTTCAATAAAATGTAGATCAGTGGTCTATCTCTGGAAATTCCAGAAGCTGGATTGCTAGAGGAAAAACAAATACTTTTTGCTCTGTCTTATGAAGATTAACTGAAAAGAAATGGAAATGAGAAGAGAACAGAGATTATTTTACTTTTGTTTTACTAGGCAATGTACTACATTCTGGCACTGGAAAAGTGAGACATGAACACATTTAGGTGATGAACAAGAAAGAGAAAAAAATGAATCAGTGTGATAAAAAAGTATATTCAAGCCACGATAAGTTATTACAAAAAGATTATCCGTTTAATGAAAATGTTTTGTTTTGTTTTTTATTTAATAGAACTACATTATAGAAAACAATCAGAGGGCGGGACCGAACAGTGTGGGTAGCGGCCAGGGAGGCGGATCTGGGACAATGTCTGGGGAACTGCCACCCAACATTAACATCAAAGAGCTTCGATGGGACCAAAGCACGTTTGTTGGCCGAGCCAATCACTTCTTCACGGTCACAGATCCGAGGAACATCCTTCTAACAAACGAACAACTAGAGAATGCAAGGAAAGTGGTGCATGACTACAGACAAGGAATCATTCCTGCCGGCTCACGGGAAATGAATTGTGGAGAGCTAAGTACGTGTATGATTCAGCTTTCCATCCAGACACGGGTGAGAAGATGACCCTGATAGGAAGGATGTCGGCTCAGGTTCCAATGAACATGACCATCACCAGCTGCATGGTGACCTTTTACAGGACCACACCAGCTGTGCTTTTCTGGCAGTGGATAAACCAGTCCTTCAATGCTGTTGTCAACTACACTAATAGAAGTGGAGATGCCCCCCTCACTGTAAATGAGCTGGGTACGGCGTATGTCTCTGCAACAACCGGCACTGTAGCGACAGCCCTAGGACTCAATGCCTTAACCAAGCATGTCTCACCACTCATAGGACGTTTTGTCCCCTTTGCTGCCGTGGCTGCTGCTACCTGCATTAATATCCCGCTAATGAGGCAAAGGGAACTCAAAGTTGGCATTCCTGTCACTGATGAAAATGGCACCCGCTTGGGAGAGTCGACCAAAGCTGCAAAGCAAGCCATCACACAGGTGGTCATCTCCAGGATCCTCATGGCAGCCCCGGGCATGGCCATCCCTCCATTCATCATGAACACGCTGGAAAAGAAAGCCTTTCTGAAGAGGTTCCCGTGGATGAGTGCACCAATTCGAGTCACCTTGGTTGGCTTTTGTTTGGTCTTCGTCACCCCCCTGTGCTGGGCTCTGTTCCCTCAGAAGAGTTCCATGCCTGTGACAAGCTTGGAGGATGAGTTGCAAGCCAGCATCCGAAGGAGTCATCCTGAATTACGGCTTGTGTACTTTAACAAGGGCCTGTGAAGCCAAGATCAAGCCCTGGAGGCTCCGCCTGCCATCTGTGACCCTCCAGAAGCCACAGCAGTGAGGGAATCCAGTGTGATGGGGCACTGCCAGTTACAAAAGCCTCTAGAGATCTGCACTAGAGTCAAGCTGCCCCCTGGCACAGCACCCAGTGCCAGTCAGGGGCCTGACATTTGAATCATATTGTAATTTACAAACATCCCCTCCTGGTAGACTTTAATGACACCATTTTCTCAAAGCCCTTACCTGGAGCTTTCAAAAGCACTGGGAGGCATAGCATAGGTGCTCTGGTTACCTGCTAAGTGAACATTGGTTATCAATCTTTAGAAGGTTACCTGTTCAAATGCCAGTTGTATTTCTAAGTCTGTCCCACAGAGGTCTGGGCCATAAACTGGGAAGACACAAAAGATCTAAGACTAAATATGCAAGTGTAGATACTAAGAAGACTTTGTTTCCAGCCTGGCAATGGACCAGGCCAAAGTAGAGGGCAACAAAATTGAGGTTCAGAAGGTACACGCTCCATACACCTTCCCAAAGTCAGCTACAGGGCAGGGTGTGAAGCCACCCCTGCAGTTAGCATGTGTCCATGGTAGTGCATTCTCTTGGTAACTTTTCAATTTGTCTAGTGTTCTTATAAAATCACTAGTCTGACCTCAAAGATACTTTATAATCATGAATTTTCGCCAAACAATTGGCTGAAATGCACAAATGCCAGGTTTAGGAGTATATTCAGTAGAGTCTAGTGTGACTGGGCGAGTCTGGTTTGTTGGGCGTTTTTGTTGGTTTTTTTTTTTTTTTTTGTTGTTGTTGTTTTGTTTTGTTTTTGTTTTAGAACTGTGAAAACAATTCCCAGTCCCTATCTGCTTTTTTTTTTCCCTTGGCTTTCAGAAACATACAAAGACAATACATGAACAAGTCAGCAGCAACAGTGACTCTTGTGTTGCAGTCCCCCCTGTTTAAAGGCTATGGAATTACTTGGCATGTCTGCATCTCTACAGTGATTTTACATGTTATATGTTCAGTGTAGCCGAGATCATGTTGGAAGTCTGTAAATGTCCCATGTCATAGACAAGCCTCTTGTTACACTGAGTGTAAATCATTATAATTCAGAGATTTGTACATGGGGGGAAAAATCAGAAACTATCTAGTTTCTCTAGACCCTTTTTCCTGATAGCGTGTCCAGGTTGAATTTCCTCATAAAGAGAAACCGGTGTGCCTTGTGTCTGTGTTTCCCTCGTCTGTCGTCTCTAAAAGGCTGTATGGATCTGAAGCTCTCGGCCCTCCCCCATGCTGCTGGAATCTTTTGTACAGTTGAATGCCAATCCACTTGAAATGCAGTGGCTTCCTGTGACATTCTGGCCTTGGACAAGCCTTGTTGGCATCAGTGCTTCTGTGTAAATGGTGGTAAGCCTGGAGTACAAGGCAGGGCTCCACAGAGCCTAAAGGACATTGCCATGGGAAGCCAAAGGCCTCAAGGTCCTCCCCCACCCAGCTCTTGGCTGAGCCCTTGAGCCAATGCATGTTAAGCTCTGAGAGTGCAAAAACTCAGTAGCTAATTTGGAAACTGACAGACTCACCAAAGTGTCGGCCCAGGCACAGTGAGAAATACGTAGGAGATAAGGAGCTGGGCTCTTAATTTTTTTTTAAGTTTGGGTCTCTTAATGCTTTTGTATAGGAATATTCACTGCGTGGTTTAATCATGATTTATTTAAAAAAAAAAAGAACAAATGAACAAAACTTGGCAATCTTTGCTGATCTTTTAAAAGCACCTTCTTTCTGAAGACAAAGCCACATGAACCGCAATGAGGTTGTGAGGCGACAGGGTACTGTTTCTCTAACAGAGGTACAGGTGTGTGTGTGACCAGCAGCTATCAGTATTAGTGAGGTGTCTTGCCAATCAATGTGAAAGCCAATGTGTCATTTCAGTTTAACTGGACAAAATGTCAAATAAATGCAGAATGAAAGTTAAAAAAAAAAAAAAAAAAAAAAAAAAGAAAAAAAAAAAAAAAAAAGAAAATAATCAGAGTCAGGGCTGGCATATGGCTGCTGCTGATAGAGTTCTTGCAGACAGTACTCAAGTCCCTGGAGTCCAATTCTCAACTCCAGGCTGGAGTGATAGCTCAGTTGGTAAAGTGTTTGCCTTGCCAGTATGAGGACCCGAGTTTGGTTCCTTAAAGCCTATGTAAGAATGCATACATTTTTCAAAAGCTGGGTATGGTAGTACATTCTTATAATCCCTATGCTGGAGAGAAGGAGGAATTTCAACTCACTGGCTATCTGTTACCTACTTGGCAGCATCCAAGTCAAGAAGACACCTTTCTCAAAAATCAACATGGACCTGAGGATTGACAGCTGATGTCATCCTCTGGCTTTCTACATGAACATACCACACATACACACACACACACACACACACACACACACACACACACACACACACACACACAAAGAGAGAGAGAGAGAGAGAGAGAGAGAGAGAGAGAGAGAGAGAGATTGGGCCTAAAAAGGCCCTGACGAAAGGCCTAGTGGAATTTCCTGAGCCTGGCTAAAGTTTGATGACCTGTCTTTGGCCTATCAATTCGGCATGGGAGTGACTCAGCAAAATGGCCTCTGCCTAGCTACTGCTGATGTGGTGAAATATTATTGGGCCTTACTCCTCACCCCAACCTGAGGTCCCTACCCTCTTTCTCAATGCATGCCTGGTGCAATAAAATGAGCTCCTGCTTTGACAAGGCTCCAGATTCAGTGTGATTCTCTCCAGTGACTAGGAGGGGTCTGGGTCTTTGACCCTATCCATCTGGCTCGGCGCCAGGAATAGAAGGGCTGTGCCAGCCCTACCTGCCAAAGGACCCAACACAAGCGAGCACACACACACACACACACAGACACACAGACAAACACACACACACACACACACACACACACACACAATCATTCCTGTAAAGTCAAAATCATTCTGTTCTGTTAACTAGACATAATATTATTCTGATATTTTCAAAATATTGCTAGAAAATTTAGCAAAAATTTTAACATACTCTGCAACAATGTAAGAACTTCTTTTGTTTCAGTTTCTCTTAGAGGGAAAGGCCCTCTGCTGAAGCAGTGGACTTGGTTATGGACCTGGTAACAACTAAGAATGATGCAAAGGGCTGCTGAATTCAATCCTATCAGAATCATATGTCCTTAGAAAGACAGATTACTTGAAAATGGTACAAGTTGTACTTCTTCTATGGTTCAGTCATTGTATAATGCAAATCAAAATGACAAGATTATCTTGTATAATATCTCTGGATAATCTGAAGAACCAAGACTATTCAGCCATCACATTGGAATATGAATTTTGAGTCTGATTATCAGTACTTAATACCTGGACCATCTCTCCAATGCAGAAAGGAAGCGAAATATAGAAATCCAGGGGTTTCTGCTTTGATGATGAAAGGACTATGTCAGCATGAAGTGATCGTAACATAAAGTGATAACCACGCAAGGGATTTTTCGGTGGGTGGGCTGGAGATAGAACTCTGGAGTCGAGTTCCTGCTTGAGAATGGTCCTGGGTTTGATCTTGAGCAGTACAGAAATAAAAATAATAACTAATGCAGGAGAATACAATGGTCTTGTGATCTTTAATTTTTTTTTTTTTTTGGTCAAAAAGTTAAGGTGTTACGAGTAGTTTTCCCTGCCACCAGTCTTGTCCCACTGCCATGCCAGCCCCATGGCTGTATTTGATATAATGCTGTCGGCCAGGTACTAGTTTCTTATCGGCTAGCTCTGTCTTAATTACTAATCCATTTCTATTAATGTAAATATTTCCACATGGTCTCATCTTACCGGAGAGTGGGGCTGGCGTCCTGCTCTCTCCAGTCTCTCCATTCTGACTCCTCCCTACTCTTCCTCAAATCCTCCTTGTCTTCTAGTCCTGTCTATTTTGCATTTCTATTGGCCAACCGTGCTTTATTCATTAACCAGTATGAGAAACATATTTACAGAATGACATCTCCCATCATTAAGGTATTTTTCTATTAGTTATATATGTGAAGGAAAATTAAAAATAATTTAAAAAAACTAATATGTTTTTCTCTATGACCTGTATTGCCCTCGAAGTATTGGAATTAAGATGCACTCCATGGTTTCTAGCTGTGGCTGCTTATTCTCCTGCATATTTTTTTTCTCTCTTTCTCTAGCTGAGGTATGGTATTATTTTGTTGCCCAGGCTTATCTCAAACTCTGATCCTGCTGCCTCAGTTTTATGGCTGCTGGGATAATTGGGGTGTGACATCAAGCTAAGATCTGAGAGTTTAAGATGGTGTTTTTGCCAACATCACTTACTCAGTGTTTGTCACAACCATATTCCTCACTTACTTCAGTAAGCTCATCTTACCAATTTCCTTTGGCTGTGGATCTGGAGCCTGCAGCACTGTCAACAGACCGTTTCTTCTATATTCCTATCCATATTTAATTTGAATTTAACTTCATGTTGTATCTTATGTTTCTTCCTCCAAGTGGGTCTTTGTTGCCCAGTCTTGTCTCCCCTTCCTTTCCCTCCCCTCCTCTTCTCCTCCTTTCTTTGATTCTTGCATCCTCCTTCCCACCCATCACTGCCACTTGTTCTATATCATCTGTGTTTCACTGAGAGATAAATAACCAATTCAGTTGCTTCCCTTGTTGTCTGAGCACAAACTAAATAGCAAGTTTCTGTTGTACATGTGTTCAAAACCAGCTACAATCTACTCACTTAGCAAAAGCCCAGAATATATCCTGCTGTTACTTGCTGCAGTCCTTGAGTTTGTCATTGCTATTCTAAATGTTGTGATGCATTATAAATGAAGGACCAGCTCTGGTGTGATTAAGGACAACATGCATAGTCCTGGGCCAAATCATAAATGACCACACTGCAAACCTGAATTTGTGAAGTTAGTCCCTGAAAAGGCCTTCCCAAATGAGTACCACACAAGTGTCTGTATTTGCTTTTGCCTGAATTAAACTACAAAAGGGAGAAATTCTTATCAGATCAAGCACTCTCTATAAAAACACTTGTTTGATGGGAGATGCCATTATGTATATATGTTTCTTATACTGGTTAATGAATAAAGCACTGTTGGACAATAGGAAAGGAAGATAGGAGGGACTAGGAGACAAGGAGGAAAGAGGAAGTAGTGGGGAGGAGTCAAGATGGAGAGTCTGGAGAAGGTAGAACCGCCAGCTGCCTCTCCCTGGTAAGACCACATAGAAATACATAGAAATGGGCTAATAATTAAGACAGAGCTAACGGATAAGAAACTAGTAACCGGGCCAACAGCATTGTATCAAATACAGA